TGGAGCCATACACCTGTAGAGCGGTGCCTGACTCTAAGGACGGAGGAAAACAGGGCTCGTAATAGTGTGGTGTAGGGGAGGTCCTGATGATCAGTTTTGGCTGCCGCAGCAATCGAGATCCAGCCAATCTCCACAGCCGTAGTTCATATTCAGACCTCCTGGCCGGCAGGAGCGAATCAGCAAATCTCAGAGGTTTTCAACGGTTTGCACCATCATCTAGGGCGTGCCAGCCGAGCTTCGGGGTGACTAACGGGGGCAGAAGCAGAAAGACTACCTGTTCAAGCCGTTGTTGTGCCGAGAAGTTGTGTGGCGACCCGAAGAGCAATCAGCAATTCACAGCCGGCTCGTACTTGATCGGATCATGCCTCATGCTCAAGTAATTGGCAAGGAAGAAGGTCAGCTCGTGTGTCAGCTTGTCGTTTCAGTCAGTACAACTTTCAGACCACTAACGTCATCTTCTCCGCGGCCGTTTTCGTCCTCAAGATGCCTTGTCCAAGATGCTGGAGCATTGTGTGATCTACACAGCCGGAGCGGGAAGGTGATGCTCCTCGTGCCAGAGTCTGGAAGGGTACAGGAAAGAGGTTGCAGGACCAGACGGAAGTCGAGATAGGACGAACTCTGATCTGGCCACGCGCTGGAGATGGTATGTGGGCACCCTGGATGCCGCGCCAGTTGTCGATCAGGGCTGATGTGCAGCTAGGATCCGTTGACTTGCGGGAGGACCTGCCTCTTGATGAGGGCCCCCAACATCCACCAATGCCTGGGGCCATAACCAGCGAGCGCCAGCGACGAAGCCCTCCTGAAAATCAAACACTTCTTGATTCAGCCTAATGGACAATATCGGACGGCGTTGCAGCTAGCCAGGTCTGGCACCACTAGCTCGGCTCCTTGGGACTTAAGAGGGCTTGTCATGTCAACTCCAGAGCGCTAAATGAATAAGTAATTCAAAACATGCATAGGGCAAACGGCGCTTCCAAGTGCCGATCCACGTCGGCTGCTTATTGGCTCGTTCGCGTGGTTTAATGGCGTGGCTCACTCAGCTGGAGAAATGGGCCCTCGCCCCTTGTGATAGCACACTCCTCGATATTGAGACGCCGAAACCTCGCGGGCGACGAGCAGCTGATTGCCGTCGGATGCTGTAAAGCTTGGTGATTATGGAGTATGCCACAGTGCGTCCTTTCAGCGAGCGCGAGGACCGTAGACACACAGGAATGGATCCGTCTCGCGACTGGTCTAGGGTAGGTAAGTCAGCTGCAATGCGTTGTGAGAAGCACGGAAAATCGGGGTCCGGCACATGAATGACTGTTCGTATGGGCATGGGTACGTGCCCTGGCATGCGACATGCGACATGCAACCTGAAGGGAGAGAGACGTCGCCTCGGCCCAGCTCCCATCTCAGTAACATGCGTGCTCGTGCCGCTCCGTGGTGCTGGCAACCTGGTCTTCGGCCCGGGAGGGTAGACAGTCGCGAGGCTGTTCTGACTGGGAGGCTGGGGAGCATCGTCAGAAAACAGAGTTTGGCCATGAGACTCATCTATCTCGAGACATCAATCTAGACCCGACTGGAGGCTGGGCGAATGGGGCCCAAGCTGAATCTTCATGATAGACATCATTTGGGACCAGAAAATGCAGGGCTCCACAGGGAACGACAGATAGTCGGTTCGGAGCGCCAGGACGCCCAACTTCCGATCGATTACAGGGGAAGTTGCGCATCGCCATCAAGCGGTGAGAGGTGGGGCTATCCCGTGCTTCCAGAGTGATGAATCCGACGTTCCGCCGTTCAGTGTCGACGCCTTGTTCAGGACTGCATGTCTGGCTTCTAGAAAGGAGTCAGGGTCTGAAGAAGCAGTGAGGATCGTCGTCAATGGTGCTGGATGGGCCTGCTAGTGCTCGGGATTGGCGCCCGTCAGCCCCGGCCAGGTGCATCAGACACTGTTGGTCCCCTGTGCTTGTTGGCCTGGCAGAACTTGGGCGACCTCGGGGTTGGGGGTGACGAGGAGGCGAGCATACGAGTATGCGAGGCAGCGAGAGGGAGAGCAACGCATGCGATTCTTGGCCAGTGAAATCAAAGAAGGTTTGGGGAAGAGGGTCGCTCGATCTTTCGTGTCTGGGATCCGAGGAACTGGCTCTGGGAAAAGGAAATGTGAGATTAGAAAACATCCGAAGAATGGGCAACGTAAAGGTTGAAGGCTGTCACGGCAGGCATGGCATGGCAGGGTGCGAGGGCCAAAGGTGCCCCCGTGCCTACCTAGGTTGCTGGTAGGTACTGTAGCTTGCCTTCCCATAGACTAAGAGGGGGGGGGGCAAAAGGTGAGGGGGAGGGAGTGGGCGAGAAGGGCAGCTACATTGGTGTTAGGCTCCACCTGTAGCTCCTTCCTCTTGCACCGCCCACCCCCTTCCTTGCCTAAGTACGGTACTTTACCTTATGGCAATACATACTTACCAAGGTAAGAACCTAGGTACGTAAGATGCGATCAGAAGCAGCAGGTGAAGGCATCCCGACTCTGGCCTGACCTCATGATGGCAACTGCAAGATCTGGCATCAATGGGAGCAAGAGCGGCATGCATGACACACCTCGCTCGGCGGAATACCTCTGGCACCTGCAAATGCAGCAAGAAAGTCACCCACTGACGCAACGCAACCGATCTACGGACCCGAAGCAACTACGCCAGAGCATCGTCACACCAAAAGGAAGGCGTATATGTCTTGACGCTGCATCACAAGACAACACCACTAGCAGCAGCAGCAGCAGATTTCAACCTGCCTCGCTTGCCCAGGCAGGCATCTACGAACCTTAGGCACCTATGCAGTTGACATGTCACCTCTGAATCCTTGATCTGAGAAACCTTTGGGTCGATCATTTTGCCAGCTTCCAGCACCGCCTTCCATCTTCGTCTCCAGGGAACCTCCGCCCGGGTTAGGAAAAGAAAAAGGGAGAAACTCAATATCATACAACCCTTGGTGACCGGTTCGAGCGTCATATCAATTGCGCAGAGCACGGGCAATGGTTTCTTCTCCATTTCACCGACTGGTTCCCAGTGCTCTCTCTCTGTTGCGCCAGACTCCTCACACAGGGAACGCGCCATCGCGCCATGTATGCCTGTCTCACTGTCATATCCCGTCCTAAGTCACCGACTCTGGCCCAATGCTTACTTTACCAGGTGTGAGGCGGTCTCTTGTCTCCAGTCGTCCGCCGTCTCACCTCCAAGACAACCACGTGCCTCGCATCGCCTTTTCATAGTCCGAACCCGCCCTCTCGATGCTGCCTGAACACCCATCTTGCTTCTTCTCCTTTCGCCAAGACAACCACGACGCTCTCTCGGATTTGGGCCAAGCAGCAAGCTGACTTCGCCTTGACGAACCCCCACAACTTTCCTCCAACATTCCTCAACATCGTCTGGAGGAGAAATCAACTACACCGCTTAGCACCTTTTTGGCTAGACAAGCTGAAAGTGGAACAGTCGCCTCTTCATTGCTTCTGCTCGTCGGTGAAAACTAGCCAGCAAGGGACCCCGTTTGGTCTCGACGCAATTAGTATTCTACCGCGACCAAGATTGCTGCCAGTCATGCCATCGGCCCTCGAATTGCCAGCAGCAGCTCCTCGACATAGCACTTCAGCTCCGAGCGATAGGTCCTGAAGTCGACGCCACAATGCTCAACAGTCGTCCTCTGGCTGACTTGACTGACCCCGGAATGGCTGATCTGAATATCAGGGTACAAGACAGCAATCTACCCAACAGAAGACGATAACATCTTCGTTCGCTCTAGCGCAGCTGGTCAGCTCGGGGACTTGTTGAAGCACTGCCATCAATGGATATTGACGACCGCCAGCCTCTGCATGGTGGACCGCTTGGCTGCTCCCAAGGTAGTTATGGCGAAGGATGTCCTCATTTGACCGCCTTGTCCAAACCAGTGCCTCCTCTGTTGGGCGGCCAGCCACTAGGCTCCTGGGGTCTGCCAATATCTCCCCCACGCTAGTCCCTGGCTGTGTGCTCATTCTCCCCCTCTGCTGGCATTCCGAGCTTCTCCCAATCGAAGCGTGGGTAGTTTGCCTCGCTCTCCGAGCATCCAAACGGACCAGATAGGCTCCTGCACTAAACCCAGGCTGGATATTGGAGATTTGCATCAGGCCAAATGGCGTGGGGGAACATGAATGCGTTACGTCCCTTCAGTGCGCTAGACGCTGTCCAGTGCAGGGACCTGTGCCCACGTCGGAGGGGTAGAGTGGTCTGGTCTGCACTGGTTGTTCTTGATGCCAGTGGTACATGCCAGCGCGAACCTGGTCCCTGTCATGGGCAGATAATCGAGTGCCGAGGTGAGACTGTGCTATGCAAAGAGCGTCGAATTGTGCTGTGCAGTAGAGCAGCGACTCCGGCGGGTGCATGACTACCTTATGCTTGGAAGCAGACCGAAAACTGAAGGATCTCTTTTGATAGGACTTGAAACCTACTCTCCACGCCCGTCAACGTTATGTTCAAGCTACAATATGTTTAAGCTACAATATGTTCAAGCTACACTATGCATCTCACTTCGGACGGGCTTTTGAAGGTAGTCTGCAAGGCTCAAAGCCATCTTGGCTCCATGATGGGCACCGCGGAGAACCTGCGCTTTGCAAGTCAACTCATTCCGCCCAGACGCGTCTACAACTGCCCAAGCCATCTTCAGCAGGCACTATCTAGCAGGCGTTATCTAGTTTAACGCGAATTTCACCAGTTGAATGATGCTCGTCTTCGCGGCATCCAGCTGCCCGACATCTCATTTTAGCCTGTGCTGCCCAAGAATCATGTCCATGCCCTCTGTATCTCCAAGGGTGGAATTATCGGCCTTGTATGTGTGGATCCGGGATGTTGATGTGAGAGCCAGAGGCTAAGGCATACGTGTGGCAGCATGTCCGTCGTCTCCGCGGGCGTCAGGCCAAACAGTCGTTCGCGTTGAAGAAATACGAGTCAACTTCCAGCGAACCTCAACCATGTCTTGTCGACCCTACGCCGAAGGGCGGCCATCCCCTTTGTCAGCCGCGTTCGCTGGGAGTTGAACGACTATCTACACGGAAGCATCGGGCCTTGCGAACTACTTTACACGCTTTGCCTATAGGTTTGGGCATCAATGGCTTGTGCTTCAGGTTTTATTCTGATCTAAGGATGTTCTGTAGTACGTGACCATAACTGGTCTCACGGTCGAGGTTCAGGTCGATGCTCGAGGTGTTGTATGACACCACGCCTCCGCCTGCCGGTCAATGATGCTTCAAGCCAGCATGTAGATGCGTGATTGCTAGACTGATTTGTGAACCTTATTTAATGTTGATTGTAGTTTAGTCTTTTTGTTGTTGTTGGCGTTTCTGTGGCGCTCCATTTGTCAACAATGACTTGCGCACCGAGCTACTGACCACAAGTTTTCTTCCCAAACTCAATATAGGACATAGCCTTCAAAGGTCTTGCATTCAAATGTCAAGCTCAGACTTGGTCGCTATACTGAAGGCCTAGAGCTTCAGGAGTGGAAAACTCACATGCCCTCATCACGCAACCGGTCACCCTGCCATCCATTATGGCCCCAAATTGCGTATGGCGCTGTGCTAGTGATTGAAGGTGGTCCATTCAACCATGACAGCATTTGAAGTACTCTCAAAACAAGGCGAGCCATGGTTTGGGTACCCTCTCAACAGTATGCAGTGCATTTCAAGTGCAGGGCAGGCTCCTGGAGCATTGTTTCCGCCGTGGATACCAGCGTGGCATCTATATGCAACTTCGTGACCATGGACAAGACCTCTACATGCAATACGAGCGGCCATCCCAGCGTATAAATATACAGGTTGGGCCAAGGAGACACAAGATACTATGAGGGTGCAGTGATTGTCGCGCATCACAGGCAGGGCAATGATCAGATCGACAGGCAGTCTAGTCTCGACCAGATTATCGATTGAAGAGTGTATGGTACGTCACTTGGCGTGTGTGGCAAGATGCTTCAGCCAGACCTAGTAATACAGATCAAGCAATACGACCGGGAACGGCGCCTTTGCTGTTTTCTTGGTTTGGCGTGCTGAATTTTATCAGAGGGTCATGTGCGGCGTGCCACTGCCAGCAGTACATTTCTCTGGTCGAACGGCATCAGAATCACCAAAGCATCGATTTTGGTCGTAAGCTTGAGGACCCTGAACCAAGAGGGCAGCATGTGAGGCGAGAGGTACGCACACATTTGGTGTTCACTTCTCTGAAGCCGTACACTGGTTGTCGGTGTGTCGTCGAATTTGTACCCCCTCAAGCCCCTCCAGTTCCCGAACGCTTGCACCCCCGCCCTGTCTTTACTCAAAGGAGGCAGAGCTCCGGTTCCCCTCTCGTCACCATCGTAGTAACCATGGTGCCAAGCAAGATCGAGACACCTAGATCAACACAACATGAGGGAACTCGTGCAAGTGAGCCGTGGAGCTGGGCCCCAGCAAAATCGAGCCTTCGCGAGGTGGTTGTTCGTGTATTCCTTTGCAATCATGGACTCCACTGCGCGAAGGATTCCACAACCCGGCAACTCGAATGTCAACCCGCCAGCCTGGGCGCGCCCTTCCCATGACTCACTGCGTCAGTGGCTTCAGTTCTGGCATATAAACAGCATGTTATAGCAACGCAACGTGACAGATTCTCATCGTAGCCAGGCTTCACACAGCAGCGCATCATTATAATGGTCGCAAATCACCTGGCGGGCAAGGTCAATTCTCATGTCTCTCGGGACCTTACGCAGGACTTGGAATCCATCCAACACGTCCTCACCGACACCCGCCTATCCATTCCCGCCCTTCAATTGCTCTTGAAAATAGGCAATCAATGTTCCATGCCATCACTAGACAAAGATGATGCCATTTCCGACGCGGCCCTCCAGGAACTCGTTCGAATGGACCTCGTCACGCCAACGGACCCGCCAAGATTGACGCCTCAGGGTACGGCCTCGACGCAAGCGGCCCTGAATCACCACGCCGGCCCCGGAGACCGCCGCACAGCCCCGTCCCCGCCGGCCGTCCGCGTCCTCCCCGGCTACAGACCGGGCTTCCTCGCCCGCTGCCTCGACATGCACATGGCCTACTACCCCGCCATCACAGGGTGGGGCCTCGCCTTCGAGACGGCCCTCGCGCGCGACTTTGGCGACATCCTCGCGCGCCTCGCCTCGAGCCCGACGTCGCAGGTCTGGGCGGCCCTGGGACCGGACGACGGCATTCTCGGCACGGTGCTCCTCGACGCGAGGGACGCCGACGCCGACGCCGGCGTCGCGGGGGCCGCGCCCCGCCGCCGGAGCGCGCAGCTGAAGGGCTTCATCATCGACCCCGCGGCGCGGGGACTGGGCGTCGGCCGCAAGATGCTCGACGCCGTCATGGCGCACGTCCGGGCGGCGGGCGTGGAGGAGGTCATGCTGCACACCATGGGCTCGCTCGGGGCGGCGGTCCATCTGTACCGCGGGGCCGGGTTCGTCGTCGAGAGCATGTACGAGCAGGTCCTCTGGGAGGTGAGCCTGCCGCAGATGAGCCTCGTCTGGCGGGCGGACGGCGGTGCCGCTGTGCAGGCCGCGGAGCTTGGTCCCTTGTGAGGCGGCGCAGGGAAGTGCTTTTTCGTACGAGGCCATGCATTGTGGGTGCTTGAATGTGAAAAGGGGCGAGAGTGGTGATGCCTAGTCGTGGGGATTTGTCGATTTGCATTTGGCTGGTGATACTGCTGCGAGAATGAATGCGTGTGCACTTTTGGACAGGATAAAGAGTTCGTAGAGAGATGAAGTGAGGTCGACGCAAGACCGAGAATCAGCTTCGTTGAAACGTCTTGGTAGAGGGGGGATCAAATCAGGTGACCGGATACTTCATGAATATACATCTTCTTACATGGTGGCGAAGTCAACCCGCGCCCCTTTCAGTTTGCATCTAGACAAGGCAACAGATACTGGGACTATCGACGACACGTGTGATAGCTCTGCCCGCACCGCCGCCGACTGCACAGCTGTCTCCTCATCGGCTCTGTTCCTAGGCCTTAAGACAAGGTAGCCAAGGTTCTCTGCAGGGCTTCGTATTCCGTCTGCTCAGGCACCTGCGATCACGGCATGCCCCTATCTTTCTCCTTTTGCCGCTTTCAAGCTGAGCGACGTGCGTCTCCCGCTTTTTCTTCGTCCTGCTTCTTACAGCAATCGCCATGTCCACAGAGACTCCTCGCTATCGCCATCATGATACCCGGTCGTTGCGCACCACACAAGACGAAGAGGGGCCGGAGAAGACGGCCGCGGTGGCTTGTCGACCAAGCTGCCATTGCCATGCTTCTCACACAGTATGTTGCCAGTGGACGTAGGCCCAGCTTGCGTTATCCACAAGACACGCCTTCGTTTGGCGAGAGTGGATTCAACAGCGTGAGCACGTGCGTAAGGAGGAAGGCAGACACACCTGCTCCTCCCAAGGTTGACCTGATGCGAGGCGTCGCCTGCCCATATTTGTCCATATATCGATCGGGTCATTGCTTCACAGAGGTATATTCCATGTCTGCTTGCCCCGTTTCCTCTCGTCTCAGACAGCCACAGACGTCCAGACCCAGCGCAGAAGCGACACGCCCGTCCACGCGACGACGGTGACAAGGACAGCCAGGACGGCGGCGACGTGGGTGCGGATCTCAAAGGCATCGGCCATTTCCATCTTGGCCAGCTTCTTCTGCTTCGTGTGGTAGTACCCGCCCGTCGTCTGGCTCTGGCCACCTCCGCCTCCTGCCGCGCGCGCGGGCCTCGTCCTGTCATGCTCGTGAGCGGGCCGGTAGACCAGGTGGTGCAGCCACGCGGGCAGTCTGCTGTCGCTCCGACGGCCGCGGTAGCGCATGAGCGTGTAGCGCAGATCGACCCAGGCGAGGGAGACGAGGAAGGAGACGAAGATGATGGGCGTCATGATCAGCTGGGGGGTCTTGTCAGTGCACACATTCGGTGGCTTGAGGATTGTTGGCGCGCGCGCATTGCGCTCTGAATGAGATTCACTTCATCGAGGCTTCTCGTCGCTCGCTGATGGTTACGCACCTTGTAGAGGGTCATCTTGTCGACGGCGGCCGCATCGCTGATGCCCCGCGTCGTGGTGACTTTCGTCGTCGTGACGGATGACGACATGGCAGCTGGAAGCTGGGCGCTGGAATGGAAGCTGGAAGCCAGAAGCTGAAGTTGAAGTTGAAGCTGAAGTTGAAGTTGAAGCTGGAAGCTGGAAGCTGGAGCTCGTGGGAAGCTTTGGCGGGGTCGAGAGGATGAGGTCAGCGGTGGGGCCTTCCTGTACCTGGGGGACCTTCCCGTCCCTGGGCTGGAGCTGGCTGGCAGGTACTGTAGAGGATGGAGATGGCGGGCAGGTGGTATCGAGGGCGGGACGCGGCAGGTGCGATTGATTATGGTATGAGTCCAGCGACGGGAGTCGACGTTCCAATGTGGAGAAAAATATAGTGTGACTGAAGAGATATCCGTCAATCTTCAGACAAGCTGCCTTCCTCGCACTTGCCATCTCGATTGCATCAGACCAGCCCGCATCGGGACCCTCGATTTCGGGGCCTCGGGGCCCAGCCGCACTGGCCATCTTGACGCCCGTCCCACCTCGTCTCTCGATTGGCGGATCAGCAGGGTGTTCCTAACGAAGGGGAAAAGCCCTGGAGCAATGACGGAGCACCAGTTCCACACGGCTAACCAAATTGTTCCTGGCATTAGTAGGTGGGTGATCCATTGTGTGATTTTTCACTTTTCCTGGTTCGCCTGTTCGCTCTCGCACTCGCACTCGCAATTGTACCCTCGAGCCTGCAACATGGGGTTTTGGAAGAGGCGCAGGGCGGGCTGTTCCCAGTGGCGGTGCTTCGTATTGCCAGGCATGATGCAAACCGTCGCTCGTTTTCACCTAAGGTCACTGCAATTCGAGGACGATGCTGATGAGCCACCAATGTACGACGGCCGGGTCCATCAAATCAACCAAGCAGTTGAATCCTGCCGATGCACCATGTCACTTCAGCCCTACCCGTGTCCGCGTCCGCGTCGTGACAATCTCGCATTTGATATCTATGCCTTTTTGATGTCCTGTCCCTCCTTGGGCTTGCCCATGTGGCACCATCACCACATTGTGTGGGCCCAAGTATGGTATCCCCCTCCTGTCATTGCAGCACGCAGGCCCTTTTCGATTGTATGTGTCCAAGAAGTTACCCCCAAGCCCACGGCTTACCGCGAGTTGTGAATGTCGAGCACCAGAATATCCTGCGCACCGGCCGCCGTCAGCTTGTCCATGACGACGGCAATCTCCTTCTTGACGACCATGCAGCTGACGGCGACCCAGCCCTCCGTGTCGAGCGTCGTGACCGTCGGCGCGCGCTTGCCCGGCGTGATGCTCTTGGCCTCGGTGAGGCGCGCCCTCTCAATGTTGTACTGGCAGAGCACGTAGCGCTGCGCCGTGATGACGCCCTGGATGCGCGCCGTGATGAGGTCAATCGTGGCCTGGTTCGACGGCTTGCGCGACTTGATGAGCACCGCCTGCGAGTCGACCACCGTGTCGATGGCCTTGAGGCCCGCTGCCCTCATGGTCTCGCCCGATTCTGCGGGAACCGTGTCAGCATGGATGGGGGAGAAGCAAGCGGGGAGATGTGCAAGAGGAAAAAGAAGAGGAGGAAAAAGAAGAGGAGGAAGAAGAAGAGGAGGAAGAAGAGGAGGAGACACCCACCGACGAGATCCACAATGCCGTCAGCCACGCCCAGCGCGCACGCAGCCTCGACGCTGCCGCTGAGCTCGATAATCTTGGTCCGCATCTTCTTGGGCGTCGCAAAGTCCTCGCCGTTCGGCTGGCCCTCGAGGCCGAGCTCGAGCCGCGCAAAGTGGTCGGCGGCGAGGCCCGAGAAGCTCGTGCCAATCGTCTTGCCGATGAGGTCCTCCGTCGTCGCGTAGCCGCCCTTCTCCGGCACCTGGACCTGGAGCTTGCAGGCGCCGAAGCCGAGCTCCATGACAAGGTCGCAGCCCGCCGTCTTGAGGGGGTCCTCGGCATTGTCGCCGGCGCCAACCGAGGCCCGCCGCCACCGGTTGTAGGACCGCACGTTGGCGTCGTGCTCCTTGACCTGGTCCCAGCCCGTGATGCCGAGATCGCACTGGCCCTCGCCGACAAAGGTAGGTATGTCGGCGGCCGGCAGGAAGATGAGCGCGATGGGCAGGTTCTTGACGAGCGCAATGTCGAGGCGGTTCTCGCGGCGGAACTGCACGTCGGCACCCTCAAGTAGGTTGAGGGCGGCGGCGTTCAGGCGACCCTCTGGATGTTGGGTTGTGGTCAGCTGCAGATCGGTGACGGCGGGAGAAGCGGAGGTTTCGTCTTGACTCACTCTTGGGCACCGCGAACAGGAGGCGGCCTTCTAGGCTTTCCTTCACCATCAGCTTTTCTGGTCCCTTCATCATCATGGCATGGCTTCCACGGCGTGGACGACGAGAAGAGAGAGGGGGGGGAGGACGGAGAGGGGGAGCGGGAGGGCGGGTGCGACCAACGAGTTGACGAGATCCATGGGGGGCTAATGGTATGTCCTTCTGGGTGTCACCGGGG